AGGATGAGGAGTAGGAGGACTGAAGAGGAGAAGGAGGACTGAGGACCTGAGAGAGAGAGAGAGAGAGAGAGGGATATAGAGGGAGAGGGATAGAGAGAGAGTAGGAAGACGATGAGAAGTTGGATAAAGAGATATATTGCACACATAGAGGCCGTACGTGTGAGAGCTTTAAATAGAAAATAGGAAGTCAGTGACAAGTCGGGTAAAGAGATGAACTCTATAGAAAAGGGCCAGGAGAGCGAAGGATGAGGGCAAATAGGAAGACTGCAGCTGCGAGAAGTCGAAAGATGACATGAAGGTAAAACAAAAGAAAGCAACCTTATACTTAAAATACTTAACAGAATTGAAAATGTACACATTAAAGTAACTATAAAACAGACCAACGATTGATCATATGTTGCCAACTCACATCAGAAAAATAACAAACGCCCTGTGTTTCAAAAAGTTCATAGTTTATCTAGAGGCCAATGTTCAACAATCAACACTCAAGCTTTTTGCCAAAAACCGAATAGAAGGGGCCCTTTGCTTCTGTGTCCTGGCGATTCTCAGTTTGCTCATAAAAGTCTGTGTAGTCTGATGTAATATGTTTAACGCACAAATCTCCGGTTACAGGCTTCAGCAATTGTTCACTAACCAATTAGACCTGAAATGAAAGAAATTGTATAATGGGAACCAGGTTACGATAAAAATGATCATCAAAATTACTTTTTTTAAGAAGGATACCTCACTATTCAAACATCATAGCAACAAACTTCACATATCAATTGTCGTTTGATGTTGTATTTAGTAAACCACCGGCTCTGCTTGTGCACAACACAAGGGTATTTATTTTTAAATGCACTATCCAAGGATGCTTTATTACATACCTTAGGCATTTAATCGTTGCAGTTGTTTCTATATGTGGCAGTCCTGAGCGTCAATCTTTTTCGTCTTTTGTCTGCTCATTTCTCATTTCAAATCGATGAGGCAGGACTAGAATTTAGCAATGTTCTGTGTGCTGTACCTAACTATAGTGTGCGTGGCATTTATTATCTTGGTCTCCGTAAATGTGGAAACCATTGAATATGTCTACCAATGCTCCTCAGTCGACCACAAAGCATTTAAAATAGCGTTTAGTGTTTTGACCAGCTGTGTATTTAGATGAAGCAAGGTCAGGAACCCAGCATGGTGGAGGATAATGACAGTTATCGTGCAAAAAGATCTGTCACTTTACTTTTGTAGCTTTCAATTCTATCAGAATCGTAGTTTGTAAATTCACATACCTTTGATGAAGTAAATGTTAGACAGTGTTTTTATGAATATATCCCCGTGAAAAACTTACTTAACAACAGTAAGATAATAAACTTCTGAGAAATTCAATCATGAAGGGTCTTATTTCATCAAAAAAGCTGAAGTTTGAAGGCCATTGAAAACAACGCTGATATAAATGAAAGCCAAATATATATGTAATCTTCAGCTCAACTGTCCATCATGTCTGTTAGATTATGATAGTTGCAGTTCAACTACAGTAAAAGCAGATAAAATTAAAACAATTATGCCCTTAAACTGTATGTCTTGAAAGAGCAGTTTCTTCTGGGCTTCTGGTTGTTAGAAGGCATCTCAGTTACCAGTACTTGTGATTCCGCGGTTATAGCTTGAACCATGTTTTGTGCATGCAACACTTAGATGAACCGTTGATTAGAAACATTGAAGAGATTTCAAAGCAATCTCTTGCAGTACTACCGTCTTCGTTCTTTAGACCAAAGTAGTTGAAAAGAATTATGTGGTGCCACAGGACTCTGCAGTAAATATCCACCATAAAGATCTTCACAATCCAGTCAACACCAGTGATCCCGGGAATTAGCTCTCTTTTGGTTTTTTCTTCCTTTCCACTTGGTCACTGAGCTGAAGTTACTCTCATCACCACATGTCAGTTCAATCAGTAAAACTAAAATATTCTTGGAGAATGGAACTAACTGACAAAATTAAAATATCCAACCTCTAGCATTGTAGGTATGCTGAGGGAATTGGGCAGGGTATTTATCTTCGTCAAACAGTATATTCCAATCTCTTGCATCACTAGAGATGTCCTTCTTCATCATCATCATCTCCTTACCAAGCTTCTAGTACTGGGTAAGTTTAGACCTGAGCTTAAACCACAGCTCCCACAGTCCTCCTTGGGTGACGGGTGTGTTACTACTCTCTCTGTTGTCTGCCAATTGAATCGGAAAGGTCGAGGTGATTTCATGTTAGTCTTTAAATCTCTATTGACAAAATGTGTAATACTCTAATCGTGAAATATCGTCAACTCACTACTAAAGCCCTTTGCATTGGATCAACTCAAACAAAATAACTTCAGGTCAGCCTACAAAATGTTCGAGTATTCACAAAGTGAGTGAAAATGTCTCGTATAGCGCTCGATTTTTCCTAACGATATTTTTTAACTTTCGGTAATGACGACCAAACGCATTGCGCGGCTTTTTATTTTTAAAATAATTATTTTTATCTAACAAAATTGCTAATTATTATCCCGTATACATTTTACTATTTTAAAATATGATATGAATAAATATTATAGGTTATAATTGTATAATTTTAAATTACTTTGTAAAATAACAAAATTTGAACAATTATGTATTTAAAATTTATAAAAAATTTTAAATACGGTAAATTGTTGTTCATTGATTTTCAAGAACTATTTTATGCATTGGAAATTTAATTTATAATATACTGCAATCAGACATTTTTGGGGTTTTAGATTTTTTTGTTAGCAAAGATTTATTTTAAAAATAAAAGCCGCGCGATGCGTTTGGTCGTCATTACCGAAAGTTTAAAAATATCGTTAGGAAAAATCGAGCGCTATACGAGACATTTTCATCCCACTTTGTGGATACTCAAACATTTTGTAGGCTGACCCGAAGTTATTTTGTTGGAGTTGATCCAATGCAAAGGGCTTTAGTAGTGAGTTGACGATATTTCACGATTAGAGTATTACACATTTTGTCAACAGAGATTTAAAGACTAACATGAAATCACCTCGACCTTTCCGATTCAATTGGCAGACAACAGAGAGAGTAGTAACACACCCGTCACCCAAGGAGGACTGTGGGAGCTGTGGTTTAAGTTCAGGTCTAAACTTACCCAGTACTAGAAGCTTGGTAAGGAGATGATGATGATGAAGAAGGACATCTCTAGTGATGCAAGAGATTGGAATATACTGTTTGACGAAGATAAATACCCTGCCCAATTTCCTCAGCATACCTACAATGCTAGTAAGGGGGGACAGAGGGCCCAAGTTGCGATATAAACCAGACAATATTGAAGATTTAGATTTAAATATTGAGCCCTTTGGCTAGAGAATACTTTCTTGAATATTTTCGATAGTTTTTAATATTGGTAATGTTAATGAATTGTAATTGATTGATATGTAATATTTAGGCCCGTGGCCAGTTTTCAATACCTACAATGCTAGAGGTTGGATATTTTAATTTTGTCAGTTAGTTCCATTCTCCAAGAATATTTTAGTTTTACTGATTGAACTGACATGTGGTGATGAGAGTAACTTCAGCTCAGTGACCAAGTGGAAAGGAAGAAAAAACCAAAAGAGAGCTAATTCCCGGGATCACTGGTGTTGACTGGATTGTGAAGATCTTTATGGTGGATATTTACTGCAGAGTCCTGTGGCACCACATAATTCTTTTCAACTACTTTGGTCTAAAGAACGAAGACGGTTTTAATACTTTCAACACTACTATATAACAAATAATTTGAGGTATGTGTAATGTTGAACGATAACGTGACAAGTGACATAGTGACATAGCACAGACCCGAGAAGTCCTGCTTCTCCTCTCCAGACCCGAGAAGTCCTGCTTCTCCTTCCCCTCTTCACAAATCTATTAAGGGAGTCAGACCCACAAGTTCTGAACCTTTCCGGTTGGTGATTAAGTTTGATTTTTTGATAGAAACAAACCTGTTCCAGACGTGTTCCAGCCTTCGTTTTTGGTACTACATACCTTAATAACTTCATCATGGTTGAAACAATCCCAAAACAAAACGTCAATAATGCTAACACTTCCTCTACCCCCCAGAAAAAAGCTAAGACCCCAACAATAGTTGCTGCTGGAATGCTACGACAACTAGACACCAACCTGCTGAAAGCTGTCCAAAGTTACTTTGCAATGGAGGCAGATAGTACTGGAAGTGGTGCATCTTGTACTGAAAGTGTCACAGGTATTTTAGGAGCTGCTAAAAATCTTAGTGGCTCTGGTTCTTCGGATTCTGAAATAACCTCTGACACTATCTGCTGCTTTAATGCCAGTGGGCAAATGTTATGTACCCTTTTATCTTTCGATGAGCATACCTATAAATTGTTACTACCAGCAGAACTGAAGTCTGATGCAACATATCTCTCTCCTGCTGAAAGGGTCAAACTACTTTCTCAGCTAACTTACTTCAAAGACCCTCAAAGCAACGAAATTGCTGAACTGGAGTGGATAGAACTGATCAGACCACAGATGTTAAGTGTCCTTTCTGACCATGGTATCACTCCTACTAATCAAGATACTGATCAGGATCTAAGACGCAGATTATATGGAAAGCAATCCTTTCAGAGCAGTCACGGTGCTGAGGATAAGGTGGCATTATTTGGTTTTACCCTTAGAGAACCTTTGGTCTGTTTGTCCACTAGCTCCTTCCCAAAGGAGGACTACACCTACAAAACTAAACTTACAACTAGCTTCGTCACTGAAAAAGTTGAATCTGCTAAGACTCAAAGCTTAACACCTAAGCATGATATGCTAGAGTCTGGCAAAAATAACTCTGTTGAACCAGGATCGAAAGAATCTCCACAAAGATACAGGATGGAATCAAGTGAAAGGGGCACTCTATCATCAACATCATCTAGCTCACTTGTACTTGAAGGCAGTACACCTGACATCAACGAGATGGATCAAGAAGATGGGGATGCATTCACACCTCCCAACATAACATTTAACAACACTTTTGACTACAGAATTGAATCTAGAGCTGAGGAGGGTATCAATGATACTGGTGGCTCATGTACAATCTGTAACCAAGATGTTAGCGCTGATCAGCTTCTTACATGCTATCTATGCAAACTTTCAGTTCATTACACCTGTTACAAGGTGAAACAAGTAACAGCTCACAAACAAAAGATGCGTACCCTGAGCCACACAAATTTCACAGCACTTGGAATCTCCCAGAACAACAAATGGTTTTGCAATGGCTGCAACTCTATTTCCTTTGATGATATCCTGGAAAAGATATCTCTACATACTCAGGAGAAATTCATAGATGCTGTTGAGAAAAAAGTTAAACTGGTGAATGATACTACCTCAAGTTCCCTTGAAGGAGATTTTGATATCTCCCAATTTTCACTCCCTGACTACCAAGATACGAAGTCACAGCAATCTGAACATGAGATTACCAATATTCAGCAACTCAAAGACTCCATCACAATGGAACTAAGAGCTGCGCTAAAAGAAGAAGTAAAAACGTTAATCTCCGCCATAACACTATCCCATAATCCAGCTCAGAGCAAGCCCTTCACAATGTCTGCAGAAAATGTATACAAACCACCTGCATCATATTCTGAAAAGGCAAGACCACCTCACTCTCATTTGAGCACCAACACTTTCATAGAACCCCCAGTGGTCAAAGAGCTTACAAAAAAATCAGCTAGTGCAGTGGGAAGCGACTATTTAGTTGATCCCAAGATGTCTGTTATCATAAAGCAAGTCACAAACAAAAAGGTGGTGTCAAATGATACCTCACTTAAATCAGAGTTTAACAAACTGTTTAAGCAAATGAAGATAAAGTACATTAAAAAGACAAGATATGGCAACATCATTCTTCAACTAAACTCTGAGGATGATATCAAACAAGTACTAAATGGATGGCAATCCCACTATTTTAAAGACACCAGTGCAAAAATAGGCACAGCGATATTCAGAATGACTGACCAGCATCTGACAAAGCATGTAGGCATCATAAGGCATGTCCCCATAAACATTGATATGGGCTCTATCTCTGATGGACTTAAAAATGCCAATTTGAATAGCACTCACGTAACTCGCTTGGGCAAATCATCAAACTCTGTTAAAGCCATCTTTAAGTCACATGAGGATCTTACACAAGCAATAAGCAAGGGATTCGGTCTTGAACACTTATGGCTAGAAGTTGCTCAATTCAAGTTCACCAAAAAACCAATGCAATGTCATGGCTGCAAAAGATTTGGACACCCTGTGAAATGGTGCCGCAGCAAAGCAGCATGTGGATTCTGTTCCTCAGAAAACCACACTGATAAAGAATGCCCGGAGAGAACCCATCCATCAAATTACTGCTGCCGCAACTGCAGAGGAAATCATACAGCCTTCTCAAACCAATGCCCACATTTCATAGAAAAAATGAATCTGATTAAACAAAGTAACCACCATGATTACTAAAAACAACGGAAGTCTTCATATCTGTCAAATAAATGTCAGTGGGCTATCAAACAGGTCTATTACAGCAATTGATAGATTCAACTTTAAGTTCAAAAATGACATTGTGGCTCTACAAGAAACTCTACTGGATAACTCCAGACCCCACTTAAATACCTTTCATAATCTGGATACATTTTCGGTAAACAATAGCAGAGGAGTGTCCACCAGTGTTTCCCCAGGCTTGTCCCACAACAAATCAGTGAACTTCAAGATACAACCACTGATGCACTCTGGGTCACTGTTAGGTACAATTCAACGGTAGTAATGATTGGTAATGTATATGTAAACCACTCCCTAACTTCTACAAACAACCTGAGCTCAGCACTTACCAACATCACAAAAGCTCTCCAATACTGCTCCAAGTTCAAAATCAAAGATGTAATAATAATTGGTGACTTCAACAGTAGGCACATCTCCTGGGGAGATATCATCACAACCGACCGTGGAAGACAGCTGGATTCATTCATCGCTCAGCATAATCTGACATGCATCACTCCGAACACCAATACATTCGTCTCCCATAATGGTGGGAGTATCATTGACCTTGCTTTGTTGAAGGGTAAAGTATGTAGGCTATACCAATCGTCCAGCATTGACAGTGAAAGTGAACTCTTCACAGGTGCTCCAAATAGAGGTCACTTACCAATCATCCACCAATTCTGTCATGCACAAACTGCTCAATCTGCATCTCCTCTTCTCTACTGGGACATTGATAAAACAGACTGGAATGCTTGGTGTGGATCACTTAACAGGGCCCTTCTCCTTGGCATAACAGGCAGGATCAACTCTTACAGAGACCCTCTAAAGCTGTGGCAAGACTTTAAAAACATTTTATCTGCGATTGGTAATGAATGGATTCCTCTCAAGAAAGTCAGTACCCACTCAAAACCTTTCTGGAACTCTCTCCTTACAGACCTTTCACGAACTCTTCAAGCTGCGCAGGAAACCATGAAAACCAGCTACAACCGCATAACGTCTCCCTCCACAAACAAGCAAAGGAGGAGTTTTCTAATACCTT